ATATTTGGACATATTCAGTATTTGTGCCAAGTTTGGTCCAGATCCGTTATTGTTCGAGTCCACATTGGTCTCTGGATGTAGGTGAACTACAACTCCCAAACTCAAGGTCAATGCCCAACAAACCCTTCCAGTATTTTCTGTTGGCCATGGGAGCTCCGTGTGCCAAGTTTGGTTCAATTCCATCTGTTGGTGGAGTACAGAATGCTGTTTGATTGAAGGTGAACTACAAATCCCAGCAACTACAGCTCCCAAATATCAAGGCCTATTTTCCCCAAACTCCATCAGTGTTCACATTTGGGCATATTAAGTATTTGTGTCAAGTTTGGTCCAGATCCATCATTGTCTATGGTGCTTTTTGGATATAGGTGAACTACAACTTCAAAATTCAAGGTTAATGCTCAACAAACCCAGTATTTTCTGTTGGCCATGGGAGTTCCGTGTGCCAAGTTTGGTTCAATTCTATTATTGGTGGAGAATGCTGTTTGGTTGAAGGTGAATTATAAATCCCAACAACTACAGCTCCCAAATATCAAGGTCTATTCTCCCCAAACTCCATCCCGCATATCAGATATTTACATGACGATTCATAATAGCAGCAAAATTAGTTGTGAAGTAGCAACTAAAATAATTTTATGGTTAGGAGTCACCACAACATGAGGAACTGTATGAAGGGGTCACGGCATTAGGAAGGTTGAGAACTCTAGTGTGTCACCAACAGGGAAGGCAACAAAATCAACCTCTGTACATGGCATTCATTGACCTTGCAAAGGCATTCGACACAGTGAATCGCAGCGCTCTCTGGACCATCCTCCAAAAAATCGGGTGCCCTGACAAATCTGTGTACATCCTGCGGCTCCTCCATGATGACATGATGGCAACAGTCCTGGACAGCAATGGCTCCCAAAGTGACGCATTTAAGGTGGAATCAGGCGTCAAACAGGGATGTGTTATTGCCCCAACTTTATTCTCCATCTTCATCGCTATGATACTTCACCTTGTTGACGGGAAGCTTCCCACCGGAGTGGAAATCATCCATCGGACAGGTGGCAAGCTGTTTAACCTCAGCAGACTGAAAGCCAAAACCAAGGTTACAACATCTGTCATAGAACTCCAGTATGCTGATGACAATGTTGTCTGTGCGTATTCAGAAGAAGACCTACAAGCCACTCGAAACACCTTCGCAGAAGCATACGAGAAGCTCGGCCTCTCATTGAACATTGAGAAAACCCAAGTATTCTTCCAGCAGTCACCAGCCAATCCCTCTCCAATGCCATAAATACAGCTTAATGGTGTAACATTAGAAAATGTTGACCATTTCTGCTACCTTGGCAGCCACCTCTCTACCAAAGTCAACATTGACACCGAAATACAACACCCCCTGAGCTCTGCGAGTGCAGCATTTTTCCGAATGAAGCAGAGAGTGTTTGAGGACCGGGACATCCGTAGGGATACCAAGGTGCTTGTTTATAAAGCTATTGTCCTCCCAACCCTGCTATATGCCTGCGAAAGATGGACTGTCTACAGACGTCACATTCTACTCCTGGAATGATTCCATCAGCGCTGCCTCTGGAAAATCCTGCAAATATCTTGGGAAGACAAGCAGACAAACGTCAGCGTGCTGGAAGAAGCAAAGACCACCAGCATTGAAGCGATGGTCCTCTGCCATCAACTCTGCTGGACCGGCCACGTTGTCCGGATGCCCGACCACCGTCTCCCAAAGCAGTTGCTCTACTCTGAACTTAAGAACGGAAAACGGAACGTTGGTGGACAGGAAAAGAGATTTAAAGATGGGCTCAAAGCCAACCTTAAAATCTCTGGCATAGACACTAAGAACTGGGAAGCCCTGGCCCTTGAGCGCTCCAGCTGGAGGTCAGCTGTGACCAGCAGTGCTGCAGAATTCGAGGCGGCACGAGTGGAGGGTGAAAGAGAGAAACGTGCCAGGAGGAAGGCGTGTCAAGCCAACCCCGACCGGGACCGCCTTCCACCTAGAAACCAATGCCTTCACTGTGGGAGAAGATGCGGGTCAAGAATAGGGCTCCACAGCCACCTACGAATCCACAAGGAAACCCATCATGGAAGACCATCTTACTCGTCCAATGAGGGATCGCCTAAGTAAGTCCAAACTCAAGAATGGAAAACAGAATGTTGGTGGACAGGAAAAGAGATTTAAAGATGGGCTCAAAGCTAACCTCAAAAACTCTGGTATAGACACTGAGAACTGGGAAGCCCTGTCCTGTGAGCGCTCCAGCTGGAGGTTAGCTGTGACCAGCAGTGATGCAGAATTTGAAGAGGCACGAATGGAGGGCGAAAGAGAGAAATCTGCCAAGAGGAAGGCGCATCAGGGACCGCCTTCCGTCTGGAAACCAATGCCCTCACTGTGGGAGAAGATGCAGATCAAGAACAGGGCTCCACAGTCACCTACGGAACCACCCTGGAGGATTATCCTACTGCAGCGGTTCTCAACCTGGGGGTCGTGACCCCTCGGGGGGTCATTTGGCCAATTTCTGGGGGTCGCGAAGCCGCATTGGCTGGCCACGCCCCCTCCAAAATGGCGGCCGACCCCCTGCGCCACTGGCATTCCCGCGTGCGAAGCCATCTGCCCGTCCCTCATCTCCTTCTGATGGCAGAAGGAGGTGAGGGATGTGCGAGTGGCTCCTTGGGTGCCCCTCGCCTGCTCTGCTCTCCCGCCGGCAGGCAGGACTGTGGAGCAAGCGGAGGCCTTTGGTGCAAGGCCTTGCGCCAGGAGCCCTCACCTGCTCGCTCTCCCGCCGGCAGGCAAGGGTGCGGAGCAGGCGAGGGCTCTTCGTTGCAGGTGAACTATAAATCCCAGCAACTGCATCTCCCAAATGTCAAGGTCTATTTTCCCCAAACTCCACCAGTGTTCACATTGGGGCATATTGAGTATCTGTGCCAAGTGTGGTCCAGATCCATCATTGTGTGAGTCTGCAATGCTCTCTGGATGCAGGTGAACTACAACTCCCAAACTCAAGGTCAGTGCTCACCAGACCCTTCCAGTATTTTTCGTTGGTTGTGGGAGTTCTGTGTGCCAAGTTTGGTCCAATTCCATCATTGGTGGAGTTCAAAATGCTCTTTAATTGTAGGTGAACTATAAATCCCAGCAACTACAACTCCCAAATGACATAATCAATTTTCCCTCCAACCCCACCAGTATTCAAATTTGGGCATATTGGATAACGTAAGGTAAAAGTTTTCCCCTGACATTAAGTCCAGTTGTGTCCAACTCTGGGAGTTGGTGCTCAATTTCTAGGCCAAAGAGCCGGCGTTGTTCATAGACACCTCCAAGGTCATGTGGCTGACATGACGGCATGGAATTCTGTTGTTTTGTCGAAGGCTTTCATGGCTGGAATAACTCAGTTCTTGTGGGTTTTTTCGGGCTATATGGCCATGTTCTAGAGGCATTTCTCCTGACGTTTCGCCTGCATCTATGGCAAGCATCCATGGAGTGTTTAGGCAGGGGCGGCTCATCCATTACGCGAAGTAAGCGGTCGCAGAACACTTTTTTTTGCCAGGGGCGCAGAGGCGCCTCTGTAAATGCCCCTTGACTGCCACTTGAGGAGCGCCCCCTCAGCTCACAACAGCCCTAGCAGTCCGGGGGGAGCCTTGGCTTTCTTGCCTCGCTGCCGGGCGATCCTCTTCCCAAAGGGGCCGGGCCCTTGAGCCTCGCCTAGCCCTTTGTTCCTGCTCCACCAGCCACCGGGTGCACGAGCAGAGCCGGCGCTCAATCGTTCTCCACATTAGATCCCTTCCCCATGACCGGCTCCCTTTCCTGATCCCCTGGCGCTCCACCTGCCTCCTCTCCTCTCTCCAATCTGCGAGAGGGCCAAGGGGTGGAGCCGCCGTGCCTGGCCCGCTTCGGGTCCAGAGGCATGTCTGAAGACCCCAGCGTGCGCACCAAAAGTCGCCTCTTCTCCTGACTTTCTCTTCAGCCATTGGGACCGAGAGAGAGAGAGAGAGAGCCCCTCCGGCTGGAGGTATCTCCCACCTCCGCTCCCTCCTTTGTTTTTGCGCCTACCTTCAGGAAAGGTGGGCATCTCCACCTCTCTCTCTCTCTTGGTCCCAATGGCTGAGGAGAAAGTCAGGAGAAGAGGTGACTTTTGGTGCACACGCCGGGGTCTTCAGGCACGCCTCCGGACCCAAAGCGGGCCAGGCAAGGGAGCAAGTGCGGCAAGTGTAGTTACTGGGATGTATAGTTCACCTACAATCAAAGAGCATTCTGAACTCCACCAAGGATGGAATTGAACCAAATATGGCACACAGAACTCCCACGACAAACAGAAAATATATATCAATGATTGGTTGGGGGGGGGGGGCGCCAAAATACTGTTTGCTTACCATTGAAAATTACCTAGGCTGCGTCTGGGTATTTGTGCCAAATTTGGTCCAGTCAATGAAAATACATCCTACACAGGGGCGGCTCAACCCATTACGCAAAGTAAGCATTTGCAGTATAGTTGATTTTGCCCAGGGCGCTCTTGAGGTGCTCTTGGGGGAAAATAGAACTTGACATATGCGAGTTGTAGTTACTGGGATGTATAGTTCACCTACAATCAAAGAGCATTCTGAACTCCACCAATGATGGAATTGAACCAAATATGGCACACAGAACTCCCACGACGAACAGAAATATATATCAGTGATTTTTTGGGTATTTGTGCCAAATTTGGTCCAGTGAGTGAAAATACATCCTGCATTTCAGATTTTTACATTATGATTCATAACAGTAACACAATTATAATTAGGAAGTAGCAATAATAATAATTTTATGGTTAGGGGTCACCACAACGTGAGGCACTGTATTAAGGGGTCGCGGCATTACGAAGGTTGAGAACCACTGTCCTACTGGGACAAGGAGGGCTCGCCTAAGTAAGTAAGCAACCTGAGCATGTGGGGAACGCGGGGGCGGGGCCTGCCTTCCCGGTCGCGCCCCCTCCCGCCCCGCCCCCTGACGTCACGCACTCCTCCTCCTCCCCCCTCCCAGCCTGCCTCCATCCGGGCTGCTCCCCGCCTCTCATTGTCAGGAGGCGCCCGCGCTGCAGCACTCGGGCCGGATCCAAGCGCCCCCCCCCCCCCGGCTTCGAGGAGAAGGGGTCCCCGGCGGGGAGGCCCTGCAGTGCCGCCCTGGGCTCCGGGAAAGAGGTAAGGAAGCGGGGCAGCGAGAGAGAGAGAGGCAGGCAGGGAGAGAGAGAAAGTGCTGCCCCAGCCCAGGAATGTGAGGCATCCGCTTTGTTCCAAGGGAGAGAGGAAGAAAGTGCGCTCTTGGGCTGTTTCCTTCAGGAAAAGAGCACAAGCCCGCCTTGTTGGGGGAACTTCCCAGGTTCTTCCCAAGGAAGGAGGGAGGGAGGGCTGGGCCCTTCTTCCTGCGCAGGAAATGGAGGAGGAGGAGGAGGGCGGGAGAGAAGGAGCTGCAGGCCCGCTCCCTTGGAAGGAGGAGAGTGTGGAACGCCTCCTCCAGGCTGTGGAGCCCCTCAGAAGCCCTCCTTCTTGCAGGTCTCAGGCCTGGGCCAACTTGGGCCCTCCTTCCAGGTGCTTCGGACCCCCAACTCCCCCCATTCCTAACATCCGGTGGGAGTTGGAAGTCCACAAAACACCTGGAGGGAGGGCCCAAGTTGGCCCAGGCCTGGCATATTGGAACCTGATTGGTTCCTAAAACATATCACTCTGGGTGGTGGGCTTACCTGCTTTGAACTGGATTATGTGGCAGTGTAGATGGGTCCAGAGCAGGCATGGGCCAACTTGGGCCCTCTAGGTATTTGGGGCTTCATTTCCCACAGCTCCTAACAGCATCAGCCCCCTTCCTGGAGAAGGGAGAATGTAGGCAAGTAGCTATCCCAGGCTTGGGCAAACTTGGGCCCTCCAAGTGTTTTGGACTTCAATTCCCACAACTCCTAACAGCCTCAGGCCCCTTCCTTTTCCCGCTTGAGCTGCTTAAGTAGGCCTTCACCAACCTGGAGAAGGGAGAATGTAGGCAAGTAGCTATCCCAGGCTTGGGCAAACTTGGGCCCTCCAAGTGTTTTGGACTTCAATTCCCACAACTCCTAACAGCCTCAGGCCCCTTCCTTTTCCCGCTTGAGCTGCTTAAGTAGGCCTTCACCAACCTGGAGAAGGGAGAATGTAGGCAAGTAGCTATCCCAGGCTTGGGCAAACTTGGGCCCTCCAAGTGTTTTGGACTTCAATTCCCACAACTCCTAACAGCCTCAGGCCCCTTCCTTTTCCCGCTTGAGCTGCTTAAGTAGGCCTTCACCAACCTGGAGAAGGGAGAATGTAGGCAAGTAGCTATCCCAGGCTTGGGCAAACTTGGGCCCTCCAAGTGTTTTGGACTTCAATTCCCACAACTCCTAACAGCCTCAGGCCCCTTCCTTTTCCCGCTTGAGCTGCTTAAGTAGGCCTTCACCAACCTGGAGAAGGGAGAATGTAGGCAAGTAGCTATCCCAGGCTTGGGCAAACTTCGGCCCTCCAAGTGTTTTGGACTTCAATTCCCACAACTCCTAACAGCCTCAGGCCCCTTCCTTTTCCCGCTTCAGCCGCTTAAGTAGGCCTTCACTGAGCTGGAGAAGGGAGAATGCAGGCAAGTAGCTATCCCAGGCTTGGGCAAACTTGGGCCCTCCAAGTGTTTTGGACTTCAATTCCCACAACTCCTAACAGCCTCAGGCCCCTTCCTTTTCCCGCTTCAGCTGCTTAAGTATGCATTCACTGAGCTGGAGAAGGGAGAATGTAGGCAAGTAGCTATCTCAAGCTTGAGCAAACTTTGGCCCGCCAAGTGATTTGGACTTGAACTCCCACAATTCCTAACAGCCTTAGGCCACTTCCTTTTCCCGCTTCAGCCGCTTAAGTAGGCCTTCACTGAGCTGGAGATGGGAGAATGTAGGCAAGTAGCTATCTCAAGCTTGAATCATAGAATCATAGAATTAAAGAGTTGGAAGAGACCTCATGGGCCATCCAGTCCAACCCCCTGCCAAGAAGCAGGAATATTGCATTCAAATCACCCCTGACAGATGGCCATCCAGCCTCTGTTTAAAAGCTTCCAAAGAAGGAGCCTCCACCACACTCCAGGGCAGAGAGTTCCACTGCTGAACGGCTCTCACAGTCAGGAAGTTCTTCCTCGTGTTCAGATGGAATCTCCTCTCTTGTAGTTTGAAAGCAAACTCTTGAGCAAACTTTGGCCCTCCAAGTGTTTTGGACTTGAACTCCCACAATTCCTAACAGCCTTAGGCGCCTTCCTACCTCAGTCGCTTAAGTAGGCTTTCACCGAGCTGGAGAAGGGTGAATGTGGGCAAGTAGCTATCCCAGGCATGGGGAAACTTGGGGCCTTCCTCCAGGTGTTTTGGACTTCAACTCCCACCATTCCTAACAGCCTCAGCCCCCTTCCTTTTCCTGCCTCAGCTGCTTAAGTAGGCCTTCACTGAGCTGGAGAAGGGAGAATGTAGGGAAGCAGGTATTCCAGGCATGGGCAAACTTGGACCCTCCAAGTGTTTTGGACTTCAACTCTCACAATTCCTAACAGCCTCAACCCTCTTCCTTTTCCTGCCTCAGCCACTTAAGTAGGCTTTTACCGAGCTGGAGAAGGGAGAATGTAGGCCAGTAGCTATTCCAGGCATGGGGAAACTTGGGGCCTTCCTCCAGGTGTTTTGGACTTTCAACTCCCACAATTCCTAGCATCCTCAGTCCCCTTCCTTTTCTCCCCTCAGCTGCTTAAGTAGGCCTTCACCAAGCTGGCGAAGGGAGACTGTAAGCAAGTAGCTATCCCAGGCTTAGACAAACTTGGGCCCTCCAAGGGTTTTGGACGTCAACTCCCACAATTCCTAACAGCCTCAGGTCCCTTCCTTTTCCTGCCTCAGCTGGTTAAGTAGGCCTTCACTGAGCTGGAGAAGGGAGAATGTAGAGAAGCAGCTATCCCAGGCGTGGGCAAACTTCAGCCCTCCAGGTGTTTTAGACTTCAACTCCCACAATTCCTAACAGCTTCAAACCCTTTCCTGAAAGGTCCTGAGGCTGTTAGGAATTGTGGGAGTTGAAGTCCAAAAACATCTGGAGGGCCGGAGTTTGCCCATGCCTGGTCCAGAGTGTCACACCCAAGGTTTGTGATCCAAATCCAGCCCACCTTGTTTTATGTGGCCCGCGTTTCAGAGCTTGTAGCATTTCAAATAGTTGTGCTTGCATGTTGCTTTGTGTTTGTTAAAATTCACAGAACGTGGTCAATGATTGAAGCCCGTGTGCGATATGGTTTCTGAGGTTATTTAACGATATCTTAAGGCATAGTTACATTTACACAGTCTTAACCACTGCACCGTTGAATTGAGATGTTGACAAACTGGAATGTGTCCAGAGGAGGTTGACTCAAATGATCAAGGCTCTGGAGAACAAGCCCTATGAGGAGTGGCTTAAAGAGCGGTGCATGTTTAGGCTGGAGAGGAGACATGATTAGGGCCATGTAGAAGATGTGAGGGAAGCCATAGGAAGAAGGGGGCAAGCTTGTTTTCTGCTGCCCTGGAGACTGGGATGTGGAGCAATGGCTTCTAACTACAGGATCACACCCGAACATTAGGAAGAACTTCCTGACTGTGGGAGCTATTCAACATTGGAACTCTCTGCCCTGGAGTGTCGTGGAGGCTCCTTTTTTGGAGGCTTTTAAACAAAGGCTGGATGGCCATCTGTCGGGGTTCTTTGTGATTATCCTGTTTCTTGGCAGGGGGTTGGACTGGATGACCCACAAAGTCTCTTCCAACTCTATGATTCTACATGGTTGTTTGAAGGCAGCCATAACGCTGATATAGCCTAGGGATGAAAATGAGCTTGACACCCCTGCTTTATGGTTTTATTTCTGCCATTTTTCTTTCTCCTTCTTTCATGGCCCTTCCACACAGCCATATAACCCAGAACAACAAGGCAGAAAATCCCACAATATCTGCTTTGAACTAGGATATCTGAATTTACTCTGCCATATATCTCAGTTCAAAGCAGAAAATGTGGGATTTTCTTCAGCTGTGTGGAAGGGGCCTCAGTGTCCTTTACGGCATTGTCATGGGTAGAAACTGGGCTTTCCCCACAATGGATGAAACTTTGTATCTTGCCTTTCGCCCTATCGTGGAGCTCTTAAATATTGTATCCAGGAAGCAGTTTGATAAGAAAAAGTTTGTAATGCAATGGATTAAACCCTTTTGCTGGCAGGACTGCTTACCGAAAGGTCGGCGGTTCGAATCCGGGAAGCAGGGTGAGCTCCTGTCTGTCAGCCCCAGCTTCCCATGCAGGGACATAAGAGAAGCCTCCCACAGGATGGTAAAACATCCAGGCGTCCCCTGGGCAACGTCCTTGGAGACAGCCAATTCTCTCACACCAGAAACAACTTGCAATTTCTCAAGTCACTCCAGACATGGGAAAAAAACCCCTTAGGTCGGATGGCATGAAAAGTTTGGATGGAGCACATGACTCTAAGGAGAAAGTGAAACCTTGGATCCTTGGAGTTTAATGCTGGAAGCCATTGCAGATTCAGCAGCAACAATAAATGGTCCGCTGTTGTTGCTTTATGTATACAACACATTCCTTTAAAAAATATATGGTTTATTATTCTGTTTTGTTTGTTCTTCTCAAGTCTTTTATTATCGCAACAGTCTGGCAAGGCCGGCAATAGATTTTAACTGAATTTTTAAAATACTGTTTATATTTAATTCAATTTTAATGTTTGCATATTTGTATATTTTAATTTGTATGCTAATGTTTTTATGTTAAGTCCCTTTGAGTCTCCTTCAGGAGAGATAAAGTGGGGTATAAATTAATATAATAATAATGTGTTGTCAAAGGTTATCATGGCCAGAATCACTGGGTTGCTGTCGGTTTTCCGGGCTGTATGGCCGTGTTCCAGAAGCATTCTCTCCTGACTTTTCACCCACATCTATGGCAGGCATCCTCAGAGGTTGTGAGATCTGTTGGAAACTAGGCAAGTGGGGTTTATATATCTGTGGAATGATGTCCAGGGTGGGAGAAAGAACCTCACCTACTCGAAGCAAGTTGAAATGCTGCAGTTGGCCACTTTGATCAGCATCGAATGGCCTTTTAGCTTCAAAGCCTGGCTGCTTCCCTATCTGGGGAATCCCCTGTTGGTATCCTCGATGAAGCGGAAAAATTCCAGACAAAAGACAGTCGGG